AATATAACTCTCTCTCTCTCTCTCTCTTAGACCACGTCCAGTCACTGCAGCAAAGCAGCACAATTGGAGTCGATTCAAATTGATGGTGTGTGTGTGTTTTGTTGAGACTGTTCTCTGTGTCCCCTGTCGCAGTCTCTATATCAGCTTTGCCGCCTGCTGGTGCTGAGAACTTAAGCTGCTGCTGCTGTTGCCGTCGCTGTCGCTTGGACTGGCCTGATGCGTCGATGCCGATTGCCGCCTCTGCTGATAAGCTGACAACACCAGTCGAGTGGACTCTGGATCCACAGACACTAGTGTGTGTGTCTGCCAGTCTGCCGTACACTGCAGTCTTCGATGTCTTGCCTTTTTTGGTGGAGAGAGAGAGAGAGAGAGAGAGAGAGAGAGTGAGTAGCGAGCTGTAAGTGCGCTCGGTCCTCTTATCTCCTGCTCACACAATGGTGCTGCTGATAAAGGAGATGAGACATTGCGCCGTCTGTGGTGGTCACGTATCAGTTTGGGTCGCAGCAGCAACAGCAGTAGAATACAGCAGTGCACAGTTGTGATTGAACAGCTCAATGGTCGGTGGAGAACTCGGCCGTACACTGATGATGCTGGCGATGATGATGCGCTGGCGAATTTGCCAAACTGTCCAACTTCGCTGGTCGACTCGGCTGATATCACCGGGCGATAAGTACTGTCGACTGGTTGTTGATAGAGGTGACGATGGTGCTGGTGGTGGTGGTGGTGATGGTGGCACAGTCAGTTCTGCCATCCACTCGGTGCCAGTGCCGTTGATGCTGCTGTTGTTGTTGCTGCTATTTGGCTCTTACTCTCTTTCCCTTTCTTTCTCTTTGAGTATATGTGCCTGGTGTGCTTTTTCCAAGTGTCTAATGCCAGTAATGCCTTCTCCACCACTTCGATGGTAGTGCATCAGTTTTGTTTTTGCCTGTTGTTCCCTCTCCGTCTACTACCACTGATGGTGCACCCACTTTGGTGTTTGGTCGTTGCGCTGGTGTGGCGTCAAAAGGCGCGAGTTTTACAAGTCGCTAGCTGTCGATAAGTAGCTCTCTAGTCGGTGGTGGCAATCATCATCAACAGTAACTACTACTACTACTACTTTTTGCTATCTAGAGGCAACATGTGCTGGAGGCATGGACTGCTCTTGCTCTTGCTGCCATTGGGTAGGTGGACCTGGTGCTGGTCGACGAATCAGCGAGCCAGCAACACAACGTGCCCACTTTCTCTGCACATCATCCGCAGAGGGAGCATGTTTGTGTCGAGAATGAAATCGCCATCTTTTCCAGTCTCTCTCTTTCTTTCTTTGTCCTTACTGTAGATGTCCCTGCGCGTTCTGTCGTAGATTACCGTTGCCTGGCAATGTACACTTATTTGCCAAGCTAACCACAGTTTGAGTGAAAAGTGCCCCAACACTGCCACCTCTGTCAGCACTACTGTGCCGACCATAGGTGCACAACAAAAAAAGTAAGAACGAAAGTGTATCAAGAGGTGTGCATCACTTGAGCACAGTCCTCGAAAATGAGACTTGGCTGGTCGGCACTCGATCAGAATGCAATTGCAGCACAACAACTAGGTAGCTTCAATTGACTTACTTTCTACACTGCTGCTTTTAAATTGCCTCAAATTGATTTACCAAAAAAATGCTTGCAATATTGTCAAGTAAAATGAGGATTATTCTTTGAGCAGACGACAGAGAGCTGTTGACTCAATTGTGCATTGTGTTGTAGTGCAAGTAAGCTGAATCAGCCCACTGCTGCAAATTGCCTTTCATTGTGTCTTTCGTGAGGTGGTGGGCAGGTCATGATGGCGTGTTTGGTGATTGTCAATGGGGATCATCGAAAGAGAGAGCAGCAAATATTAAGCGACTAATAGCAATGTGAGCTGTGTGCTTTCAGCAGAGACAGGTCATTCTAACAGGAACTGGAAGAACTGTGCACAGCCACAGTTGTTGACCACCGTAGTCGTTCTCTTCTTCCCCCCTGATCTGTGCGTTGCATTGCATTGAACAGCAGAGTGAACATATACAGAGGCAATATATGACATGATATATGTTTGTACACAGGACAAACTGTGTACGACTCGCCACTTTGGACACATACGCGCACACACACACTGCACTCAAGTCTCTCCCTGCCTCTTTCTATTCGTCCTGTCAGCTCAGTAAATATGGATTGATTGCTTGCACAAGACCATAAAGTCGCCATAAATTGAGCACTGTGGATGTAGGAACTTTAGTTTCTACCCTCATGGTTAGCTTGACAAATGCTTCAGCCATTTTTTCTTCTAATTGTGAAATAGCCATGGCCAACTGGCATGGCGCACTACCGTATTCAGCATCCCCTCTAGTAAAAAATTTACCAGCAGCAACCATTTGGCAGTTTGTCCCTTTTTTTATAGAGCCCATATCAGTGATAAAAAAAAGTAAAAGAGTTGCAGCTAGTGCTGCTTACTAATTCAGTTTGATTGCTCCAGTGACTGCCCTGCTTCCTTACAGATCAATCGATTATTTGCTCAGCCACAAGCTCACTAAATGGATTATTGATTTATTTGCTTCAATTCTACGTCCCAGTTAATGTTGTTGTTGTCAACAGTAGAGATTTATTTGCTTTGCCCTTTGGGGAAAGCAATCTTGAATTTGTTTGTCCCTTGACGAGGCGAGTTTGCCCCTCTCACTCAACAGTGCAGTGCAATAATTGCACTCGCTCAGACTGCCAAACTTAGACACAGGTCGCTCTTTCTCTCTCTCTCTCTCTCTCTCTCTCTCTCTCTCTCTCTCTCTTTCTCTTTTCCCCTAATTGACTTTGCCACTTGGCAAACGTTACAAATTAGTCACCAGCCAAGAATGCCCGGTCCTCTCCCAGACTGGCACTAGGCCCACTGAAGGTGCATTTGTCACCGTCATCGAGTCATCGGATCACATTCGCAGTGTGTGTGTCTGTGTCTGCGAGCTGCACTTACCAAGGCAAGTGTTTGTTAGACATGGCCACCCACTGCTGATCGCAGTGGAAACTTTCTCCGAAATGCGTTCTTTTTTAGTGGGCACCACCGTTGTAAGTGAATATTTACCTAGGCACAGTGCTGGAACAAATAGACAATTACCATTACATTAGCTGACAATAATATTCGTGCGCTAAACTTTGACCTTTTCAACCACTTTTCTCCTTTCTTTTGCTTTC